AAAAAAAAAAAAAAAAAAAGAGTTCACCTTTTTTCTTTTCTCCTGCAAAGTTCGCAGTGTTTGTAAGATCTTAGCCATGAAAGCTGTCCGCAACAATCGCCTGGGTTCTGCCCTCTCTTGGAGCATCCGTGCTAAAGATGCTGCCTTTGCCACCCTTGTGTCAGACAGGTGGGTGCTGTGCATGCTGGTTTTCTGGGGTTTGGGAGGTTGAGGAAGCAGGCTTGGGACTGCTGCTCTGATCTTCTCTGGGCCTGGCCTGCAGGTTCCTCAGGGACTACTGTGAGCGAGGCTGCTTTTCTGATTTGGACCTCATTGACAACTTGGGGCCAGCCATGATGCTCAGTGACCGACTCACTTTCCTGGGTGAGTTTCTCTTGAGTTCTGTCCCCTAGACCTTGGGTATAAGTGAACAATTATAGAGATTGGAGGGGTCATTCTAGACTTCTCTAAGTGTTTCCTTCCTGTTCAATCCAAACTCCAAACTATATAGACTCTTATGTCCCAGACTCTGCACAGTTTTAGGTAACATTTAATTTTCTACTAATTTCAAACTTATAGAAATAATGCAAAAATAGTATAAAGAAAAAGGAGGCTCGGCGCCTGTGGCTCAAGTGGCTAAGGTGCCAGCCACATACACCTAAGGTGACAGGTTCAAATCTAGCCCAGGCCCACCAAATAACAATATGGCTGCAACCAAAAAATAGGCGGGCACCTGTGGTCCCAGCTACTTAGGAGGCTGAGGCAGGAGACTTGCTTGAGCCCAGGAGCTGGAGGTTGCTGTGAGCTGTGATGCCACGGCACTCTAGCCAGGGGCACAGCTTGAGGCTCTGTCTCAAAAAAAAAAAAAGAATAAGGAGCTCCCATATACATTTGGCCTCTCAGGCCTGAGGGTTCTGCATCTGTGGATTTAACCAGCTGAATGGGTGGTTGCATCTGTACTGAACATGTAGACTTTGTTTTTTTGAGTTTCACTGTGCTGCCCAGGCTAGATGCAGTACAGTGGCTGTTCACAGGCTCAGTCATAGTGTACTACAGCTCCAACTCCAGGGCTCTAGTGTCTCCTTGCCTCAGCCTCCCAAGTAGATGGCACTACAGCTGCCCTGTGGCTTTAGATTTTTTTTCTTCTCATTATTCCCTAAGCAATACAGTATAGCAGCTATTTACTTAGCATTTATATCGTATTGTATTATGAGTAATATGAAAATGACTTAAAGTAAATGGGAGGATGTAGGTAGGTTCTATACAAAGACTACCTCATTTATATAAGAGACGGAGCATCTTTGGACTTTGGTATCCACAGGGATCCTGGAATCAGTGCCCTGTAGGTATTAAGGGATGAATTACTTTATATTTTGCCTTGTTTTATTCTTTCTTCAATCAGTCAGTAAATTCATTTTGGTTTAATTTTGGGGTTAATATAAGGGTACAGGCAATTAGGATACATTGTTAGCATTTGTTAGGTGAAGTCTTGAATTGTAGTACCCTTACCTTGTACCTGTTAGGTGAGAGTCCACCGAATTCCCTCCTCTCTCCCCTTCCCCCCTTGAACTTTTTTTTTTTTTGAGATAAGTGTCTCACTTTGTCATCACCCTCAGTAGAGTGCTGTGGTGTCACAACTCACAACAAACTTAAACTCTTGGGCTCAAGTGATTCTCTTGCCTCAGCCTCCTGAGTAGCTGGAACTACAGACACCTGCCCAAATACCCGGCTATTTTTAGAGACCAGGTCTCACTCTTTGCTCAGGCTGGTCTCAAACCCATGAGCTCAAGGAATCCACCCACCTCTGCCTCCCAGAGTGCTAGACATGAGCCACTGCATTCGGCCTCTCCCCCACTGAATTTGTGTTTTTCTCTCACGTAAGCCTGTAGTTCTACAAGTTTCATAATAGTATTGAGTACATTGGATGCTTGCTTTTCCATTTTTTTTTTTCTTTTTTTTTTTTGAGACGGAGCCTCAAGCTATCCCCCTGGGTAGAGTGCCATGGCATCACGCTCACAGCAACCTCCAACTCCTGGGCTCAAGCGAGTCTCCTGCCTCAGCCTCCCAAGTAGCTGGGACCACAGGCGCCCGCCACAACGCCTGGCCATTTTTTGGTTGCAGCCATCATTGTTGCTTGGCGGGCCCGGGCTGGGGATTCGAACCCGCCACCTTAGGTGTATGTGGCTGGCGCCTTAGCAGCTTGAGCCACAGGCGCCGAGCCTGCTTTTCCATTTTTGTGACACTTTAATTAGAAGGATATTTTCCAGCTCAGTGCCTGTGGCTCAGGTGGCAAAGGCACCAGCCACATACACCTAAGGTGGCGGGTTCGAATCCAGCCTGGGCCTGCCAAACAATAATGATGGCTGCAATCAAAAAATAGCTGGGCGTTGTGGCAGGTGCTTGTGGTCCCAGCTACTTGGGAAGCTGAGGCAAGAGACTCGCTTGAGCCTAGGAGTTGGAGGTTGCTGTGAGCTGTGATGCCACAGCACTCTACCCAGGGGACAGCTTGAGGCTCTGTCTCAAAAAATAAATAAATAAATAAATTCTGAAGATTGTCTATTTGCTTTAATTGTTGCATACTAAGCTGGGCAGTTTTAGCTTGATCAGGTCCCATTTGTTATTGCTGCAATTGCCAATGGAGCTTTCTTTTTTTTTTGAGACAGAGTCTCACTCTGGGTAGAGGGCCATGGCATCTTAGCTCATAGTAACCTCAAACTCTGTTGGGCTTTAGCAGTCCTTTTGCCTCAGTCTCGCTAATAGCTGGGACTACAGGGCATGCATCATGACACCTGGCTGATTTTTCTTTTCTTTTTCTTTTTTTTTTTTTTTGAGACAGAGCCTCCAACTGTTGCTCTGGGTAGAGTGCTATGGCATCACAATGCACAGCAACCTCCAACTTCTGGGCTTAAGCGATTCTCTTGCCTCAGCCTCCCGAGTAGTTGGGACTATAGGCACCTGCCACAACACCCGGCTATTTTGTTTGTTTGTTTTGTTTGTAGTTGTCATTGTTGTTTGGCAGGCCTGAGTTGGATTTGAACCCAACAGCTCTGGTGTATGTGGCTGGTGCCTTAGCTGCTTGAGCTACCGGTGCCAAGCCATGATTTTTCTATTTTTAGTAGAGACAGGGTCTCGCTATTGCTCAGGCTGAAATTCCCAAGCTCAAGCAATCTACCTACATCTGCCTCCCAGAGTGCTACGATTACAGGCGTGAGCCACCGGCATGGGTCCCAGTGGAGTCATCTTCATAAATTTTTTTCTTTTTTTAAGACAGAGTCTCTTACTTTGTTGCCCCTAGTAGGGTACTGTGGCATCATAGCTCACAGCAACCTCAAACTCTTAGGCTCAAAGGTTTCTCTTGCCTCAGCCTTCCAAGTAGTTGGGACTACAGATGCCTGCCACAACACCTGACTATTTTTATTTTTATTTTTATTTATTTATTTATTTTTTTGAGACAGAGCCTCAAGCTGTCCCCCTGGGTAGAGTGCCGTGGCATTACAGCTCACAGCAACCTCCAACTCCTGGGCTCTAGCGAGTCTCCTGCCTCCGCCTCCCAAGCAGCTGGGACCACAGGTGCCCGCTACAACGCCCGGCTATTTTTTGGTTGCAGCCGTCATTGTTGTTTGGCGGGCCTGGGCTGGGGATTTGAACCCGCCACCTTAGGTGTACATGGCTGACGCCTTAGCCGGTTGAGCTATAGGCGCCGAGCCACTTGACTATTTTTAAAGATGAGGTCTTGCTGTCTTGAACTCGTCAGCTCAGGCAATCTACTTGCCTCAGCCTCTCAGAGTGCTAGGATTACTAGCATTGAGCCACGGTGCCTGGCCTTTATAAAATCTTTGTGAAGGGGCGGTGCTGTGGCTCAAAGGGGTAGGGCGCTGGCCTCATATACCAGAGGTGGCAGGTTCAAACCCAGCCCTGGCCAAAAACTACAAAAAAAAAAAAAAAAAAAAGCAGAATGTTTCATGAATTTATGTGTCGTCCTTGTGTAGGGGCTATGCTGGTCTCTTTATGTTCTAATTTTAGTGTATGTACTGTCAAAGCAAGCAAAGTCAGTTCTGAGCCACAGGCACCGCCCAAGCACAGTCAGTTCTTTAGGTATCAATTTGAGAGTAAGTTGGAGAATTTTTCCCTTTTTTTCTTAAATACTTGAGTTTTTATTTCCTAAAAATAATAGTTACCAATATCAGGAGATGCATCACTGATACAATACTCAATCCACAGTCCATAATTCTGATTACCTCAGCTGTCTCAGTAATGTCCTTGTCCTCTGTTGTGTCCAGAATCTAGAATTTCATTGTCATGTCTCTTTTTTTTGTTCCTACTTCCATCTATCTTTGTGTTCTTTTTGTTTTTGGAGACAAAGTCTCACTCTGCGGGGCTAGAGGGCAGCATGGTCGTCATAGCTCACTGCAGCCTCAAACTCCTGGGCTCAAGCAGTCCTCCTGCCTCAAACTGAGTAGCTGGGACTATAGGCACCCACCACCACCCAGATTAATTTTTTGTTTTTTGTAGAGATGGGTTCTAACATTGCCCAGGGTGGTCTCAAACTCCTGTGCTTAAACAGTCCTCCCAAAATACTGGGATTACTGGTATCAGATATTACACCTGCCCCTGGGGGCCTCTTGTAGGTTTCACTTGAGCCATTTAGCACAATGTGGAGATGACCCCATGCTCGCTTTCTTAATAGGGAAGTACCGCGAGTTCCACCGATTATACGGGGAGAAGCGTTTTGTTGATGCCGCTTCTCTTCTTCTGTCACTGATGACTTCTCAGATTGCCCCTCGCTCTTTCTGGATGACACTTCTAACGGATGCCTTGCCCCTTTTGGAACAGAAACAGGTAAAAGTTGAGTCAGTGGTGACTTTTTCAATCTCCACAATCCCTGCGGTGCTCAGTTGCGTAGCAGTGGCATATGTGCACGTGTGTACTCTCAGGTAGCTGTGTGCACATCCCCTGTAGCACCCTTCTCTATACCCAGTGTTCACACAAGGAAAACTACTTCACTCTGAAATTAGGCTGGTTTCTACTGACTACTCAGCCCAGGAACCTGACTAGAAGGGCCGGAAGTGAGAATTGGAGACTTCTCCATCCTCCCAGGTCTCCCTGTACAAAGCACATTCTTTGGAAGAACTTGTCTGAGCATGGGCCTGCACTATTGCTAGAGGGCAGCTGAGCAAAGCAGTGTCTCTTCTCCAGGTGATCTTTTCAGCAGAGCAGACGTATGAACTGATGCGGTGTCTGGAGGACTTGACATCAGGAAGGCCAGAGCATGGAGAACCTGATGCCCAGCAACTTCAGGTCATCTAACTTCCAGTCGATTCCACAGGGGAGATAGGGGACGGGAAACACTGACACCTTACAACAAACTCATGTACCTTAGTTCTCCCTTAACCTGTAACTGACACGCTAACTTCTAGAAGAAAATGGGTGATTCTAGGATTTTTTTTTTTTTTTTTGAGTGTATCTCACTTTGTTGTCTTTGGTAGAATGCCCTAGTGTCACACAGCTCACAGCAACCTCTGACTCCTGGGCTTAGGTGATTCTCTTGCCTCAGCCTCCCAAGTAGCTGTGACTACAGGTGCCTGCCAAAATGCCCGGCTATTTTTTGTTGTAGTTTTCACTGCTGTTTTTTAGCTGACCGGGTACAGGTTCACATCCACCACCCTTAGTGTGGGGGGCCGGTGCTCTACCCACAGAGCCACTGGGGCCACCCTTTTTTTTTTCTTTTTCTGAGACAGACTCTTAGTATGTTACTCATAGTAAGAGTGCTGTGGCATCACAGCTCACAGTAACCCCAGACTCTTGAGCTTAAGTGATTCTCTTGCCTCAGCTTCCCAAGTAGCTGGAACTATAGGTGCCCACAACAGCTGGCTATTTTTTGTTGCAATTGTTGTTTAGCTGGGTTGGGTTCAAACCCGCCACCCTTGATGTATGTGGCTGGGGCTGTAACCACTGTGCTATAGGTGCTGAGTCGATTTTTTTTTTTTTTTTTTTTTTTTTTGCAGTTTTTGGCCAGGGCTGGGTTTGAACCCACCATCTCTGGTATATGGGGCCAGTGCCCTGCACTTTCCTGCCCTTCAGACTGGCCCTTTTCTTTCTGGAAGCTACTAAATGTTAAATGCCTTCTACTTTCTAACTTTGGGAGCTTTAAAGAAGGAATCCTTCCTTCTGTGCCCTCATGCTGGTTCTCTCTGCTTTGCAGGATGATGACATAGAGGCCACCAAAGTGGAAATGCTGAGACTTGCTCTTGCACGAAATCTTGCTCGGGCAATTGTAAGAGAAGGCTCACTAGAAGGTTCCTGAGAGTGCTGCTTCAATGTGGCATCTCTATGGTAGTGTATATAGATTTTTAGAATAAATGTTCTTTTGCAAATATGAGTCCAGCCACAGATTTTACCTGACCTCAAGGCAGAAGTTAAGGATGTGCTTGGTTTATGTTCTATTTGATATGGGACCGTCTTCCCATGTCTCCTGAGAGAAGCCACCCAAAAGTTGTAAGTGCTGTGTCTTCCTGCCTATAATGGTTTGGCTTCTGAAATCTTGCTTCACCTCAGATTCATCTGGAACATTAATATTCTATTGCCATTTGGTTACCTTTTTTTTTTTTGAGACAGAAGCTCTATCACCCTGGGTAGAATGCTGTGGCATCACAGCAACCTCCAACTTTTGGGCTTAAGCGATTCTCTTGCCTCAGCCTCCTGAGTAACTGGGACTACAGGCGCCCGCCACAATGCCTGGCTATTTTTTTTTTTCTTGGTTGTAGTTGTCATTGTCGTCGTTTGGCAGGCCTGGGCTGGATTTGAACCTGCCAGCTCTGGTCTATGTGGCTGGCACCTTAGCCACTTGAGCTACAGGTGCCGAGCTGGTTTACCTTATTTTTCAAAAAAGACAATTCCAGCATAGTGTAATCCACCTACCTGGAATTCACAGGTGGCATTTCCCTGTTGTCAGGATGATGGTGTCTATATTAGGAAGATTCCGAATAGGGTGAAAATGGTTTATTTAACATGCAGCAAAACAAGGGCAGCAGAGTTGGTACATCCAGTACAGCTGTTTGCCACAAAGCAGTGACCTTAATAACGAGTAACACTCATAAATAATTTTAATGTCTATATCTTACTATAAAGGTACATTTCCACATAGTAATCCCACAGACATTCCCAGGGCTGTAGCAGCCAGTCTCTGGAAAGCTCTTGGATTTATTCTTTAGTGAAAATGATTCACTTTTGACCTGTCCTAATGAAGCAGTGAAACCTGCTTGCTTGAGACAGTGAGAGGAAAGGAAAGGAATTCTTGATCCAGAGTAAGGGAGGTTTGCAAGGGGTGGGGGATCAGGAATGTGGTTTGTGCCACCTTCCTTTTCCCAGAGATGTCTGATTGCAGAGCCCATCCAGCTGAATGGTGTGCTCTTCCCCAGCTCCTGTGGCAGCTGGTGGTTGTCTTTCCTGTTGCTTTGTCAGGCCGGGTATCCCAGGCTTAGGACTGTACCCAAGTACCAGAGCAGCTGGGAAGAGATAGCTGGGACCAAGCACTCCTGTATCATAGGCTCTGGTGACTTGGCTGAAGTATGGCCTGGATCTCCTCACCTCCAGACCCAACATCTCGCTGACAGTGCTCCTTAGTAGCTGGGAACAAGGTTCTGGGCAGCACATATCTAATGTGATATACTTGACCCTGAAGTGTCCAACCACACCACATGCCAACTGGTGGGAGAAGGAGGAGGTCACAGAGAGCAGTGGGGGTTGTCCTTCCCTTCAGAGACTCTAAGGGGAGGACAGCAGTTTATTTCATGCCAAGCAAGAGGTAGTGAGTAGGATGGCCTGTCCCCACAGTTGGGGGCACGCTTTTCCCAGAAGGCTCATCTCCTTCTGGAGGAGGGGAAATATTGGTTCTCTTCATTCCTTCCTATCCCTAGGTTAGGCTATCACAAGGCCAAGTTCTGTTTCTGCTAGGTTGACTTCCATGTCCTGCTGAGATGTCCATAGGACATAGCCTGCCACTGCCAGGAACAAGTGTGCAACTCATTGCTCAGTGGCTGTTCAGGATGCCACTGCCCACAGAAGGTAGGGCTGCAGTTTCTGTAACACGCCAACTCCTCACTGTGGGCCAAGCACCATCCTGGGCCACTGAGCTTGGCCCACCTCTGTGAGGTGTGAAGATGTGGTTCTTGGGAAGGGGTAGCAATACACCTTTAGAGATCTCCCCCAACCAGTGCTTCAGTGAATGCCAGTAAAAAGGACAAAAACTTACTCCAAGCCTGGGTCTCATGTTCCCAGGACAGTAGTGAGGTCAGGGGCAACACCTTCCCACCCCCAACGGCATATGGCCACTTCAAGTCACACAGGTAGATAAAAACAGGTCCTCTTAGAGGGGCCAAAAGAGAGGTTATCACAGCAGCAGCTTGGCTCCCAGCAGAAATGCCCAGGGCCCCTGTTCCACATCAAAGCTATAAGCACTGTCATCAGGATGTGGCGAGTGACTGGACCAGAGCACTCCCCATCTTAGGGCATCCTGCCTGGGCTTCAGAGTAGAGATCACAGGTCCTTCGGGGTCATAGGTTCCCCCACTGCTCCACAGGAGGGAACTGGTCCACCTCGCCCACCTCCGTGCTCAGCTGCTCCCCCAGTGCAAAGGTCAGCCTATACCGAAGCCGCACCTTCTCCTGTGACAGAGGGCAGCAGGTGAGATGCAGCCTAGGTGGTCCCTTGGCAGGATGCCCTCTTTTCTGCTAGCCTCTCATGGCTCTATTAGAGGGATGGTCCCTGTTCCCACCAACCACCAGCCACACTCAGTCACTCAACCCAGGGCAGCAAAGAAATGTGTTAATGCTGCAGGTCACAACACTTCAGGTTGGGAGGTAGTGATCCTGACATCCTAATCTGGGGCAGCTGGGACCCCTGGGTTCTACCCTTCTCACCTTCAGTGGGTTGGCCAGCAACATGACCTGGGTGATGGCTGCAGGTGGCTGGACGGGGCTGAATGGAGAGAGTTCTGTCCCAGAGGGTGGCTGCAATTTCACTTTCATAGACTAAGATAGAAAACAGAAGTTCCTTGGAAGAGAGCAGCAGGTGCCCTCCATGGAATCTGGTCTGGTCCCTAGTGGATATACACATGCAGCTACCCTACAGCTGCAGAGGTCCTCCATAGAAGTTTAAGATAAAGGCAACTGAGGTCTCAGGGAGCAGGGGGTACCTTGGGCACTGCAGCCTGCAGCACGATGCCTTTGACTGGCAAGGGAGCCGTATTCAACATGGATACCACCACCACCAGCACATCGGGCCGTCCTGGAGGACACTCCTTGGCAAAGTGGAAGAGGATGCGGAAGCCATTTTTATCATAGGCTGTCACAGGAAGGGCACTGCCTGCAAGAAGACAGCACATGGATGTGGAAGAAGAAAGGCAGCACAAAGATACCCAGTGGAGCCCAGGTGGTACCTGCTGTAGCCATGTGTGGGGGTGGGTGCCCTAACCATAGTACAATGTTCTCTCACAATGTCTGGAAAGGCAGAGGCAGCAGGCAAGTGATGCTCACCTGACTCTGAGAGAGGGACCCTTGTAAGCAGTGCCCAGACCCACCCACCATGTGCCCTACAGCAGTGCAGCTATGGGCCCCACCTTCCTCTAACACCTACTAGGCTTGATCGACTCCAGGGGCACATGAACACTGGCCAGGGAGAGCTCAGGCCCCTTCATGGGGCTTCCCTGAGGCTGGAAGGTCAGTGGCTGGAAGAGAGGGCTGCCCGGCCCAGTGGAGAAGGGCAGGAGAGGTCTAGCTGGGGTGATGGTGGGGGCCAGAGGGGAGGCGGTAGCCCCAGAGGGAAAGCGTGAGGCAGCAGGTTTCACCAAACCTGATGTCCTAGGAGGCAGGAAGGAAAACAAAAAACGTATCAGAAGATAGGGCTGGTGGGCCAGTTCCGCACTAAGGTCCCCCAGGTCAGAGACAGCTGTTACCCACCCCAACCCTCCCCAGCTTCTGCCCCAATGGGCCAAAAGCCATCCTCCCTGCAACCTCTGATTCTACCATACTCAGGCCCAGCCCTCTGCTGCCCCACCTCATGTCCCACTCATTACACTTTGGCCTCTTCCAGAAGCTGATCCAGGGTGTCCAGGTGGTGTAGGGTGCTATCACTCATTACAGAGCTATGGCTCCCAGGGACTGCAGGGTCAGGCTTTGGGGTCAAAGCTGGGGCCAGACCAGTAGAAAACAAGGAGCCCACACTGGGGGCAGAGATGCTGGCCAGGACCACAGGAGCGGGGAGGGGAGGCGGCAGTGGAGCTTGGGAGTTGCCTGAGGAGGCAGCTGAGGGCTGGAGCAGAGGAGCATCTGGGGTGCTGCCAGCAGCTGGCCCTGGCTCGGGACTGAAGAAGTCCAGGTTGGACTGTTCACTCTGTGGACAATGTAAAGGGCAGGTGAGCAGATGACTGGGGGACTGGCTGCAGGTGGCAAGGGGTGCAACCTTCCAGACACTGGCCTTTTTCCGCCAGGGGCCTTGGAGGTGTGCAGCCCTGCTGTGCCCCTGGAGGAAATCAAGCCAGTTCTGAGCCACAGTGGGCAGCACTCTGGAGGGTAAGGACAGCCTGGGCCCCAGTCAGGAGAGATGAGGCTTGTAAGTGAAGGTCTTTGGATACTTCTGTGATGCTACCATCAGTGTGCCCCTACCTGGAACAGATGCCACTGGCTATTTCCAGCTGACTCTCTGGGAGGAACATTAGGGGCCGGGTCAGTGAGGCCTAAAAACAGAGAAGGGAACTCCACTGAAAAGAGTCTCTGGGCTAAGAGCACCCCTTGCCTGAAGGTGTCAGATGACAAGTGATGTCAATGGGTGAAAGGGGGAGGAGGTGTTCTTCAGGCAGCCTCCAGAGGGCAATAGGTCCCCTTCAGTCTCACAGCAGAGGTGAGGGCCCACCCTGGAGTCCACTGGGAAGATTGCCCTGCTGGCCTCAAGGGTCAGTGACCTTGACTGACTCTAAAACTGAAGGTTCTTGCCCACCCCTGATAAGCTCAGTGGGGTCTCCCTTTGGCCACTTCCTGATGCTGCAGGCCTCTTTCCTCTGAGGCCCCCTCTAGGACTCACCCAAGCACAGAAGTTCCTCATCCAGCAAGGAGAGGGCGTTGCTTGTGCTGTTGGGCCCTGGGGGGGCCTCAGGCTGGCTGGATGAGCCGCTGCGTGGAGGTCCCGAAGTCTGGGGGGGAGGAGGGAGGATTGGGATGCCCGAGGAGGGTGGCGTGGGTGCTGGAGCTGACATAGGGGACAAACTACTCAGTGTGTCCAACTCAGCAAGATCGATGAGAGTGCCTTGGTTACTGGAGTGACTATTTCCTAGATGGGTCAACAGAAAGAGAACAGGAATAATCAGGGGTTGTTCTAGCAGCTGACGCTCTAGCTTCTGGTCAGTCCAACAGTGTTTCTCCCAGGAAACACTATAAAGCAAGCTGAAGAAGCCCTAGGGAAGGCTGAGTACTCTCAGGTCCTGTGGAAAGACATGCTGGTCAGCTACACAGTCTGGAGGGGTCCAGAATGGGAAACCAGAACATTTACCTTCAGAGTTAGGCATAGCTGGGGTGGCCACCTCGCCATTGATGACCTGCCCTTCAATAATTGTTTTATAAGAGTTGATGACCCGGGAGAGGTTGTCACTGGCCTGCAGGATGTCCCCTGGACCAGAAAACAAAGATTCCTTATACTTGGCTGTGACAATTTCCCCCTCCACACCCACCTGCAGCCAAATTCCTGGCTCATCCTTGTTAACTAGTCCTCACTCACCCAAACTGTTGTCATTGTCCTCTGTCTCACTAGCTAGTTTAAATAATGTCCGTCTCTTATTCTCACACCGATCAAACAACTCCTGGAAAAAATCCAGACATAAAAAAATCACAACTACAAAGGCCCTCAGAGATCACCTGATTTGGCATTCATGCCCAGAGAATGATGAAGGTCCTAGCATTGTCATTTATTGTTAGCACTAGAACCAGCCATCACCACCCTGTGTGCCCCAAGACATCTGTGTAATCACTGTAAGTCACTAGGTTGAAGTGGGTAAGTCAATTCCTTCCTATCCAGGTTGGAATGTAGCTTAGAACTCTAGCTACCCAACCATGGCCTGGACCACATCAGTAGGGTCACAGGGAGTAAGGCAGTAAGGACAGGTGCAGAGTAGGGGTGAGCACCAAGGGCACAGTCTCTAGAGTCACAAAGGTGGGTTTACAACTGGCCCGTCTATCCTGGGTGACTTAGCAATCTCAGGTATAGATGGGGATGCCAGTGTTTCCAGCTGCATGCAAACAACTGAGGCCACAACTGCCAAGTGTGTAGCCCAGTGTCCTCAGTGGGCAGGTACTCAGCACAGGTTGTTCTGAACGTGCCTGCAGAGCACCCCCATGAAGCCAGCTCTTCCCCAGGGGTAGGCCTACCTTCATGAGCTCTTTATCTCCCTCTGAGGAGTCCTCTCGGCTATAGTGAAGCAGCATCTCACTGAGCAGTTTCACATTGTTGTTGACCTCCTCTAATGTATGCAGCCGCTTGGTGACCTTCTGGATCCGTGCCTCATCCTGCCCATCAGTGAGGATCAGGAGAAAAAGAGGTCAACTGAACTGTCCTCTCACTCCTGCCAGGCAAGGGCCACACCTTACCCCAGAACTGAGCACAGGGACACGGTTCTGGGAACCGATCTATAGTCCTTTCACTGCAACACCCACCACAACGCTCCCATGCTCTTCCCTTCTAAGTTCTTCTAGAAGCCACCATGCTCCCTCTCCCAGCCTAACCCAGGTGAGGCTGGCAGCAGAGGGAATAAAACTGGCCCGATATCCAGGGGAGAAGCAGCTTCTGCCCTGTGGGCATGGCTCCTCTATCCCATGCCCAAAGGACCACAGCCCACTCACTTCCTTCACCATGGACTTGATGAGCTTGTTGGCCTCTTGTAGGTCATCTGGGTTTTTACTTTTCAGCAGCTTGGCTAAAAGCTGGAAGAGGGTATCAAAGCTGAAGGGAAAAGGTTAACATGCCAACTCCCCAAAGCACTGGGTAAAACCATGTTCCCCCTGCTGCTGACACCTTGCATCTGAGAAAACCCCAGGCCTAGAGGTACTTTACCTTGGATTTCTCCTCATCATCAAAAACAGGGTTTTTGGGACGAGGTGGTGGAGAGGGGATCAGCGTCCTGTCCACAGGGATTGGTGGGTCAGACTGCACTATGCCTGAAAGGGTACATGGGGGCAGAGCATGTGCTCAGGCTATGATCACCTTGTCACCCCTCCTCATAGACTAAGGGCTACATTCCTGTGATCAGACTTGTAAGAGGGTGCAGGGCACAGGGCAGGCTGCTCAGAGCTCATCCCATTAAGACCCCTCTGAACTCTGTCCTGGGCAGAGATTATTCTCCTCAGGAAGGAGGGAGTCTGGGAGCCCCAAACACTCCCTCTATTTCTTTGCCTCAGCTGGCCTTCAAGGGCTACTCTGAAACGGAAGAAAGGTAGATACGCACCCTGTCTCTTCAACATGTGGTAGGCATCTTTGACCTTGGCTTCTTCCGGCAGGGCCATTGTCCAGCTATAAAGCAGCTCAATAACCTTGGTCTTCACTTTTTCAGACACCCTGTCCCCCAGGTACTAAGTGGCAAAAGGAAAGGAGAGAACCTAGTAACTGCTATTCAGAGGCAGCAAAAGTGTAAGGCTCCCTGCTCAGCAATGTCATGCTTGCTTGTTAGCTACAGTCCTTAAGTCTACTGAAAACCAGCAGCTGTCAAAGTGTGCAAGACAGAGGGAGGGAGGGAAAGGAGGGGCGGGACCTCCCTGTGGCCTGGCTGTGTCTATCAGGATAGTCTGTGGTTAGGCAGGGGGCCAGAAGCTTTTCACTGCATTTCTGTGCATAAGCTGCCAAAAACAACTGCATTTTATCTTGAAGAAGTTCCTGAGAGTATCTTAGTATGAAAATAATCTCCCCTCTGCTTTAAGTGAGTACCCAGAGCTATGCAATGCTGGCCTGCTGAGCAAGTCCACAATGAGAAGCCAGCTCCTGGTATCCACGAAAAAGAAGCTAAAAAACCCCACAACTGCTATACACTGGGAGCTGCACACCAGCACAGCCACTGCTGCACCTCCTGACATTTAGGCTGCCTGTCCCTGTGGTCTATTTAGTTCCCATCACCTCCAGGGCATAGCTCTCTAAGGGTAAGACACAGCATCCCAGCTCTGTGGAGAGGGTGCTGGGCAAGCAGAAAACAAGTGAGGGGAGAGATGGGGAGGAACACAAAGATATCCCCTGAAGCAAGGAACTGTGGTGACTGACCTTTGGAGAAACGACTTTGATTAACTCATTCAAAAACCGGAACTTTCCCACTTCATTGTGAAATCTCCTCCCACAGTTCTTCATACAGGCCTCCAGCACCTACAGCCACACAGAGAGGTGCTCAGCAGTGCTGAGTAAATGACCCCAAAACACTGACAGTGGCCTGCAGTGCCCGGAGAGCAGCGCCGGAGGAGCACCCGGCTCACACAACTGCAAACCTTTGCCAGAGAAGTTAGTCTGGGACTATACCAAGAAACGCCAAGACACCAGTCCCGGAAGGCACCTTCCTTAAAAGCTCTCACCTCATATTTTACAAATGAGGAAACTGAGTCAGATTCAGGTGTCAGGGTCCTTTCCAAAAACTGACCAACATTAGGGGGAAGAGAATGTTTAAATTTTGTTATTTTCAATTTAATGACACCATTATCCCCCTCGCCCTCCTTTACTTTTCTAGCTTTCCTGGCCTGCCCATGGCCCTGGCTCCCACAGTTCATCAGGAGGGGTGAACTTCATAAGAAATCCCTTGGCTTCTAATAGTTTTGTTTTGTTTTTTTTTTTTTGAAGCAGAGTCTCACTATGTCACCTTTGGTAGAGTGCTGCGGCATCACAGCTCATAGCAACCTCAAACTCTTGGGCTTAAGTGATTCCTTTGCCTCAGCCTCCCAAGTAGCTGGGACTACAGGTGCCTGCTGCAATGCCAGGCTATTTTTTTGTTGTTGCTGTTGCCATTGTTGTTTAAACTGGCCCGGGCTGGGTTCGAACCCTCCAGCCTCAGTGTATGTGGCTGGCGTCATAACCACTGTGCTATGGGTGCCAAACCATTGTTTTTCTTTTTAAAATTTTTATTATTAATTAATTATGAGATGGATTCTTACTTTGCCGCCCTTGGTAAAGTGCCATGACATCATACGTCAGAGCAACCTCAAATTCTTGGGCTCAAATGATCATCTTGCCTCAGCCTCCCGAGTAGCTGGGACTAAAGTCACACACCACAACGGTTGGTTATTTTTACAGGTTATTTTTTGGTTATTTGGTTTTTTTTTTTTGGCTGGGGCCAGGTTTGAACCTACCACCTCCGGTATGTGGGGCCAGGCCCTATTCCTTGAGCCGCTGGCATCGCCTGTTTGGTTATTTTTAGAGACGAGGTCTTGCTCTTGCTCAGGCAGGTCTCAAACTTGTGAGCTCAGGCAACCCACCTGCCTTGGCCTCCCAAAGTGCTAGGTTTAGAGGTGTGAGCCACCGGGCCTGGCCCTTAGGCTTCTAGTTTTTATTTATTTATTTATTTTTTTGAGACAGAGCCTCAAGCTATTCCCCTGGGTAGAGTGCCATGGCATCACAGTTCACAGCAACCTCTTAACTCCTGGGCTCAAGCGAGTCTCCTGCCTCCGCCTCCCAAGTAGCTGGGACCACAGGTGCCCACTACCTGGCTATTTTTTGGTTGCAGCCATCATTGTTGTTTGGCGGGCCTGGGCTGGATTTGAACATGCCACCTCAGGTGTATGTGGCTGACGCCCTAGCCGCCTGAGCCACAGGCGCCAAGCCAGGCTTCTAATTTTTAAAAACTGTGGCCCAGCTGACATGTTGGGGTAGCCATACTGAGGCTTTGTTGTGGGGGCTTCTATGTATCAAAGAATTTTTTTTTTTTTTTTTT